GCTGTGGCTCAAGTGGTAGAATGCTAGCCTTGAGCTGAAGAGCTGAGGGACAGCACCCAGGCCCAGAGTTCAGGCCCCACGACCGGACCCCCCCCAAAATTAACCTCTCCCTAATCAAAACCACAATATTGTTTTTCCCCAACTTAGTTCCTGCCTTTTTAATGGTATTAGCATTTTATATCTTCTATTTTGTAGGTTTCTAAAATTGTTCATAGATGAATGAAGATAAAACCTTCCCAGGATGAGTCTAGATTTTGGATTTTGTCAGGGCCTGGGCATTGTCCTTGAGCATTTTTTGCTCAAGGCTAGCACTCTACCATGAACTACACCCCTAGTTCTGGCTTTTTGATGGAGGGGTAGTTTATTGGAGACAAAAATCTCACAGACTTTCCTGCTGAGGCTGACTTTGAATCAAGATCCTCAGATCTCAGCCTCCTGAGTAGCTTGGATTACAATAATGAGCCACCTGCATCCAATTAGATTTTTATATTGAGACATAGAAATACTGCTAGGGAAAATGCTACTAAGAAAGTGCTATTGGCTGACTGGATGGTTTCACTTGAAATATAAGCTTTATGTCCATTGGAGCAGCAGTGCCAAAGGCACTTAGTCGCCCACATTTCTATAAATCCCCTTTTCCTAGGTAGCTCTACTAATAACAGAGAGTTAGCATATGTAGCTTCAAAGCAAAGCAAGTTGCCTACTGTTCTTCCCAACCCCAACAAGTCACTGCCCTTATACAACATTTAGAACTACCTTTTGTCACCCAATGGGGAAAAACAATTTCCTCCAGCTTGTTTGCTTAGATTTTTGCACCTGTTAGTTTTGCAAAGCTTTCTAGAACTACTATACATACTTTCTACATAATAGAGAAGATGATATTTCCATCTGTCACTGAGCAGGATGGAGCTAAGCATACAGTACAGTAGAAAATTTAGCTGCTACTCAGATTCCCTTAATTTTTCTAAAACATTTTATCAAGTAAACATATGCATTAAGATTCATTGTACTCACAAACTGACATTTGAACCTCTTTTTAACAATTATTTAAAGATAATAAAAACAAATCCAATCAAAATTGTAAAAAAGTAAACACATGCACATATTTTTAAGAATCAAATGGCAGCAAAAGACTTAAAAAGAGAACTAAGCTTGTATGTTCAGCATCTACTGTGTATGCTTCTTCCGCATCACTTACTAAATGCTATATCACATAACAATTAAGAAATTCTGAAATATATTGGCTGCTCATAATTTCAATGAGAACATTATTTTTGTGTGTATGCCAGTCCTGGGGCTTGAACTCAAAGCCTGGACACTGTCCATGAGTTTCTTTTGCTCAAGGCTAGAGCTCTATCACTTGAGCCACAGCTCCAGTTGTGGCATTTTTTTAGTTTTTGTTTTTCCTAATAAGAGATAAGAGTCTCACAGGTTTTCCTGCTTAGGCTAGCTTTGAATCACAATCCTCAGATCTCAGCCTCCTGAGTATCTACAATCTTAAGCATTAGCAACTCATCTCTGGCTATGAGAGCATTTATTCAAATTTATTTTTCAGTTAGCATGCATTAATGGCATGAGGGAATTTCACTGTGATAATTCCAAAGATGAATAGTGTACTTTAAGCAAGTTCACCTCCTACATTATTTTCACCTAGTACTCCACCCCCCTCGTTTGTTAGTACTGCTTGCTTGTTATCTTTCAACAACAACAACAGCAACAAAAAAGCTGTAAACAGTGCAGCAAATTTTAGACAGGAGAGAAGATGACATACTCACTAAAGTTACAAACTCTTCTTCTGACAACTGGAAGTGGTGGCAGTCCAGGGTCCTTAGAATAATTCTGTAACTTGATTTCTCACTTCTGCTTTACTCGTAGTAACAGTCCAAGGTAGTCTGACAGAAAGAAAGCAAGTGCCTAATCTGGATTGGTGGAGGTATTCTGGAGGGAGGAGCTGGAACTCCAGGCCAAGTTTACACAATCATTACCAATCTTTCTTACAGGTTAATGAGTGGGATTTGGAAAGCATTTTTACCTCAAGCTTTTAGCAGACTTGGAATGCAAAATTTTTATAAGGGAAAAATGTCCAAAGAGTTACTGAAATGATTAGTCCTGTAAATAGGCAGGGGAAGTCCTCAAAAGGAAGAAAGAAGAAATGGAAGAAGGCATAAAGGTTTTTGCTTGTTTGTTGCCTATCCTGTGGCTTGAACTCTAGTCCTGAGCACTGTCCTGAGCTTTTTGTTCTAGCACTCTACCATTTGGAGCCAATGTTCCACTTTCAGATTTCTTGGTAATTTATTGGAAATATAAGTTTCATGGACTTTCCTGCCCAGGCTGGCTTCAAACTGCAATCCTCAAATCTCAGTCTTCTAAGATTTACAGGCATGAACCTCTGGCACCCAGCAAAGATTATTTTTTTAAGACCTCATAAAAACAGTTTAATCAGACATAAGAAAATTAGGGCATAGATAGTTAAAGCAATTTAAGCAATTTACTCAAAACTCATAAAGCTAATAAGTGGAGGACCATGAATTTGATACAGTAGTCTGGATTCAGAAAGAAAGTATGGAATAGTCATTTGCTGAATATTTATAATACTGAGCACTTTCTACATAGTGTCTCAATATTCATAATAAAATTCACCCCATCTTAATGCTCAAAATAATTCTGTGTGGAAATTAACAATTGTTTTACCCACACTGAAGAAAAGGAAAGAAAATCTTGGGAAAGGTAGATAAATAAAACCATTATGAAAGTCGCCTCCAAATCTATCTAATTTCTTATCTATTACTGCTTCTTATATCTCATAAAGGTATTCTGAAATGAAAAAAAAATGTTGAGGGGTGGATAGGACTGACCTAGATTTTTGCAAGTTAATTGTTTATGTTGTACTGGTCAAGACTAAATATATCAGGTCATCCCTGAAAAGACCTGGATATCTTCAGTTCTCCTTGTTAGGGAACTGAGTGATGAGTGTTAGGAAAGATCAAGCAGACAGAAGGAAAGAAGCCAGAGACCTCAGCAGACCAGAACAGGCTTTAATCATTGCTGCAGAGGGACTCCATGGAACACTGAGCAGGATCTGGGAGACAGACTGGGGAATTGGGGAGTGTGTGTGTGTGTGTGTGTGTGTGTGTGTGTGTGTGTGTGTGTGTGTGTGTGTGTGTGTAGGTTTTCATACATTCTAATATGAGACTCTTCAGAAATGTGTCCAGTTCTCCTGGAGGTTTATTGCCCAAACTGTCCTAATGGGAGTTTACAGTGTAAACAGTCCTGTCTGTGGAATTTTACAGTAGGGGTATCTTCCTGATGCCAGCATACCTGCTCTTTCACATTAGGCCTGTCCTGCTCCTTCCAATAAGGCCAGATGTGCAGTTTCCCTGAGAACCAGTAGGGCCCCGGGGAGGGTGGTCCGTGGGCCCGGGGAGTAGTAAGCTATCAGAACAAAGTAGATTCTCATCATTCTTCAGCTCATTCTAAGTTAAAATTCAAGCCCTTTCATGGAGTGCTCTGACCTGTTGGAGCTACAGTATACCAGATTCTTTGTGGGTTCTCAAACACACTAGCACGTTCCAGCCTTGAGCCTCCAATTCTGAATCCTCCATTTGGTGAGGTATCCAAATCTAAGGGTTTTTCTTACCACATTTTCTAAAATAGGACTCTTCATTTTTTCCCCTTTTTGACTTATTTTAACTTTGTATGTGTCTATGTGTTGGTCCTGAGGCTTGAACTCAGGGAGTGGGTAATGTCCTTGTGCTTCTTTGCTCAAGGTTAGCACTCTACCACTTGGGCCATAGTTCCACTTCTGGCTTTTTAGTGGTTACATAGAGATGGGAGTCTCAGGGACTTTCCTGTGTGGGGCTGGCTTCTAACTGCAATCCTCAGATCTCAGGCTCCTAAGTTGCTCTGATTGAAGGTGTGAGCCCCTGGCATCTGGCCCATTTTAACTTTCTTATGCCTCTTATCAACCTTAGAAATAGAACACCATTCTACTTGCTGACATATCATTTCCTATAATGGCTGCTGCTGCTAAGTATTCATTAAACATTTATTGGGCATATGAATAAATAACTGCAGATAATTAAAAGCAACTCAAATTCACTGGAATGAAGAGAGGATTTTACTTTGCATTGTAGAACTTTTTGGTTGATAGTTTGGGATTTTCAGTATAAACTGTAAATCCAAAAATAAGTCTAAATAACTTAGTTTTGCATCTTACCTCCATTTAGCATAGGTTCCTGCTTACTTGCTTATTTTTTGCTTCATACATAGCTAGTAACTCCTCTGCTCTATTTTGAGAAAACCACTGTGTCCAGAAACATTGCCTACAAACTACACCTTGATTAGCATGCCAAGTACACACCCCATAATCTGTTAAAGGGACCAACAACTACCCATTCCACACTCCCACTCACATTCCCACATTCCTTACAAAAGCCCTCTAAAGCTCACTCCAATCACCCCACAATGCCTATGGTGTCTTGGCAGTAGGATACACTATATTGAATAAGTTGCAAAATTCATTGCCTTATTCCGGAAATTAGAGGGAAAGCATTCAGGCTGTCATGGTTAGGTACACCACTAGTTGTAGGTTTTGTTTTAGGTACTCTTTATAGATGAAAGTTGAGAAAGTTCTCTATTCTTGTTTTATTTCTGAAAGTGTATCATGGATATTGAATTTTGGCATTTTTTTTCCTGCATAATTTACTATAATTGTGATGTTTCTTCTTTAATATGTTACTAATATGGAATACATTAACCAATTTTTCTAATATTGAACCAGCTTTTATTCACTGGAATAAAACCTGCGTGGTGCTAATGTATTAACAGTTGTTTTTGTTTTTGTTTTTGTTGGTCGTGGGGCTTGAACGCTGGCCTGGGCACTGTCCCTGAGCTCTTCAGCTCATGGAGAATGCTCTACCATTTGAGCCACAGCACCACTTCTGGTTTTCTGGTGGCTAATTGCAGATAAGAGTCTCACAGACTTTCCTGCTCCGGCTGGTTTTGAACCGTAATCCTCAGATCTCAGCCTCCTGAGTAGTTAGAATTATAGGCCTGAGCCACTGGTGCCCTGCTCCCATATTATTCTTATTTATGCCTTCCACAAAGCTGAGATGACAGGTGTAACCCACTTTGCCCAGCTATTTTTTGATTGAGTTGGTATCTCTAAAACTTTTTGCCCAAGCCAACCTCAAACCTCAATTCTAAGATTAAAGGTATGAGACACCATACCTAGCCCAAAGTCTTCTTATTTCTGTTTTATATATAATGCCTAGTAATTTTAGTTATATTAGCAGGAAAAAATGGGGAACGTATGTCTGCTCCAACTTTCCAGAAGTAGAAATCCTCTTGTCCCACTTTTTGAGATTAGAATAAAATTCATAACAAAACAGGGCAAGAACACTACAAGAAAGAAAATCACAAGCTATGTTACTCTTTAAACATAAAACAGACACTCAAATCATTGACAAACTAAAATCAGCAATGTGTAAAATCTAGAGCTCTATTATAGCTAGTTTGAGTTTATTCAGGAAGAAGAAAAATTATGTGAGCATTTCAATTAATGCAAAAATGTAATGAATTTCAGCAATCATTCACAATAAGCCTTATATATACACAAACGGGAAATGCAAATTTCATTATACAATAAAAGTTGTTAATGAGATTGTTGATGAGATACCTTATCCTGTAGAAACTGCATATTCACCTTTTCTTTGTTGTCAAAACTTTGTAAACATGGAACAACTAGACACTCTTAAGTAGACCCCAGAAAGACTATGATTATTATGTCCTAAAGCACACCAGTTTTAGGACGTCATAATCCAAGGCTACCCTTCTCCCCATTTGTATATAATAAATAGAGAAATGACCTAGACATACCAATCCAAAAACATGGAGGTCGAAATCAATCCACCATAATCAGACTAGAGGTCTATTCCTTTGCAGAAAGCTATTTTAGCTACTGCCATGTTTCTTGAAGCCACTGAGGAAGTTATAAGGTCTGCAGTTGAAAAAAGCCCTCTTCAACTCAGAGCATAGACAACACGTCTTTATCTGTCCATCTTTTTTTTCACGATATCCTTCTGTAATCTCAGTCCTTTCACTCCTGCCCCTACTTTCCAATTAGATACTACATAACTATCAACCTACTAAACTAAAAATTTCAAGAGACACAGATAATGTTATAATAATTCGGTTTACTGACACATCTTACCAAATGATAGGAATATATTGAGCAAGATATGCTATTGACTCTTGGAAGAAATAATAGAAAGTAACCTTCTAGAGCCAGGTGCCAGTGGTTCACACCCATAATCCTACTCAGAGGTAGAGATCTGAGGACCCAAATTTGAAGCCAGCCCAGGCAGGAAAGTCTGTGAGGCTTTTATCTCCAATTAACCACCAGAAAACTGGAAGTGGCCCTGTGGCTCAAGGGGTAGAGTGCTAGCCTTGAGCTGAAGAGACCAGGGACAGCACCTAGGCCAAGAGTTCAAGCCCCATGACTGACAGAGAAAGAGAGAAAGAGAGAGAGAAAGAGAGAGACCTTTGAAACCTTCTACCAGAAGCTAAATCAGTGGAAATGATTGCTTTAAAAATAGTATGCTAGGGGCTGGGAAGATGGCTCAGTGGTAGAGTGCTTGCCTTGCATTCTTGAGGCCATGGGTTCGATTCCTTAGCACCACATAAACAAGAAGAAAAAAGCCGGAAGTGGCGCTGTGGCTCAAGTGGTAGAGTGCTAGCCTTGAGCTGAAGAGCTGAGGGATAGCGCCCGGGCCCAGAGTTCAGGCCCCATGACTGGACCCAAAAAAAAAACAAAAACAAAAAAAATAGTATGCTATTAGAAAAAAGAAAAAATAACTGCTAACATTAATGAAGATAGGAGATATTCCTTTG